TAACCCCATAATTAAATGGTCATTCAAGTAGTTTACCCTAATATCAAATATCCACATGTACTATTGCACTGTATTGTTTAGGCTATGGTATCCTTTATTCTTGGTATACCTTGCAGGGGTGTATTTAGTTCAGTTCGTTTTTTCAAACTATATTTTTACCTTTATTTTTGGGTAAAGTATAGTAATAGTCACTGAACATTTCCGAAACTTGCATTTAGGTCCCTCAACTTTTAAAACTTGTAATACAGTCCCCAAACATTTAATCCGTTTGCAATATGGTCCCTGCACCTATGAATATTAGGGTAAATTATATAAATGGTCACTAAACTTTTCGGGCACTTAAATTTAGGTCCCCCAACTTTTAAAAATTACAAAACAATTCTCAATTTCATTCTAAACCACAAATTCCAAAGTAATTCAATTTCATTCTAAACCCTAAATTCCAAAATAATTCAATTACATTCTAAAACCCAAATTCTAAAATACTTCAATTTCTGTCTTTTTATAAACGACGCCAATGTCACTAAATTATTAATTAATTTACTTTTTATATTTAAAAACATATGATAATTTTTTATTATTAATTTAAAGACATGAAATTTTTTTCAATAGTAAGAATATATGATAATAATTCATTTATTTAAAAATAATATATTTCTGATTATTTGTGTATGTTTTTATATCTAATCATACGTGTTAATATATTTTATATCTTTCACATAAATATTAAGACTACATAAATAACAGAGTCAAAATTTTATATATACGAGTTATGTTAATTATAGTAATGATGTATAAATATTTTTTATTTTTATACTATTTCTATTATAATTAAAATATAAATATTACCATGATAATTAAATATTTATTTACTTATTACATCGAATATTTTTTGTAGAAAAATTATTTAATAAAATCATAAAAAACACAATAAAAAATAAACACTGAAGTTGACTACTTCAAAAATAAAAAAAAAAATCAATAATTTAATATAATATACCCTAAGTTGATGATAACAATCAACTCAAAAGAGATGGGGTTTGTGCCATGTTTTCGTAACATACGTAAACTTTCTATTTCATGGTCACGTATTCTTTTAGTTCTAGCATGATCTATTTTATAATTTTCTAATATAGGTAAAAAAATGTTATTTTCTTTAAAAGTTTTAAATTCAAACAATTGTGTTTGTAGGGTATATCTATATTGTTAATAAATTAATTTTTTTGAATAAATACTATCTTCTAATCACATCAAACTATTAAAAAATTAAATTATAATTGAAATAAATAAAAATTATAAGGATGTCAATTGGGGATTTTGATTCTTAATTTTTTTCATTGAGAGATTGTATTTTTTTTTATTCAATTTCTTCCATAATCATTTTTTATATTTAAATTATTGAAGATCACTAAATTTACATTTACGAGGAGGGAGTGTATTTTTTTTCTTCACAAAAGTAAAAAAATAAAAACGCTATCACGTTCTTAAAGATAATCTATTATATTTCTCCTTAAATTGAAGTATTTTAGAATTTAGGGTTTAGAATGTAATTGAATTATTTTGGAATTTAGGGTTTAGAATGAAATTGAATTACTTTGAAATTTGGGATTTATAATGAAATTGAGGAATGTTTTGTAAGTTTTAAAAGTTGGGGGACCTAAATTCAAGTGCCTAAAAAGTTCAATGACCATTTATATGATTTACCCTAATTTTCATAGGCGCGGGGACCATATTGCAAATGGATTAAATGTTTGGGGATTGTATTGCAAGTTTTAAAAGTTGGGGGTTCGTTTTTTCAAACTATATTTTTACCTTTATTTTTTAATAGAGTAAGTTGATCAATTTGGTTCAAGTCACTAAACTTGTACAGCTTGTAGGGATTATTTGATTTAGTTTGATTTTTTAATAAAAATTTAATCGAATCTCACTTTACAATTTTTTTTTAAATTGAAATCAAAACTGAATGACATAAAAATTTCTATTTTTGTTCGATTCAGTTCGATTTGATTTTATGATTTTTGATTGTCCATTGTTTTTCGAACTCAACATCCAAAGAAAGTAAACCTAAAGCTTAAACCAAGTGTAAACATACAATTTTAAATTCATAAAATTTTTATTAGTTTTAAGATTTTATTTATTTAAGTTTATCGTATTATAAATTCAAAATAAATTCATAAAAAATAAGTTTTTTTTAAAAAAAAAACAAAATTAAAGACCTAAGAATATTGTGTGTAAAGTATAAGAATGGTCATTTAACTATGTTGATATAATTTTGTTGGTCACTAAAGTTTTGGAAGTTATAAAATTGCCAATGAATTTTTCAAATTGTTGCATAATGGTTATTGTATGTTATAAAGTAGTGATAAATTCTGACAAGTTTAAGGATCATTATGTAACATTTTGATACCATTAATGATAATTTTGAAATATTTTGATAAAGTTTAATATCCATTTTTAATTATTTGAGAAGTTTAATGATCATTTGGAAACTTCAATGATTAGAAAGATCGTTTCAACATAGTTTAGTAACTATTTGTGTATTTTATCCAAATATTTTAGGCCTATATTTAAAAAAATCAGTTTAGCCCTTAAATTTTTATTTCTTTGGCTCTCAACCTTTAATTTTATTTTTTGTCAAATTAAATCATTTGATGGGAAAATAATGAATTTCTAATATTTTTTTAATGTTATTGTACAATTTAACAGTTTCTTTAACTTTAACAAATGGATAATTCACATCAACTTAATTGTTTCTTTAAAAGAATTGTTAGTTACTTGTGAAAAAAATTGAAGCCCAAAGATCAAAATAGAAAACAAAAAGTTTAAAAGAACTTTTTAGAAAAAATTGAAAGCTAATAATATCATTAGGTAAAAATAAATAAATAAGTCTTACTCTACATCTACCCGCATCTTCCCATCCTTTTCTAGTTGAGGTGTCAAATTTTGTTTTATTTATAGAGATATTTGAAAATGATGATCAATATTTAATTATATTAGGTTACGCTATTGTCAATATTTCATATAAAAATATATTTATAAAATATTCAAAAGTGAAGTGTTTAAAATTGATATTATAAATATTTATTAATTATATTCAATATTTGAGATATTTAATTTTAAATAATTATTATTAGGAAATATTTATGATATCTTTTCATCGGTTATTGGTATGACCAAAATTAAGATCTGTTGGGCTTTGCTCGCTGTCGGCGTCTTTGACATTTTTGTTTTAAGGCTTTAAGCCCATATTTTAGTTGAAGGCTTGAAATCCTTGGCTCCTTCTAGTACATGTATTCGCTTCGGCTTCTTTTTCAATAATAATAATTAGGGGTTAGTATTTTATGAGTTTAGTTAAGTTAAAATATTTTGGCTATTTGAGTTGATGAGTTCTATTTTATAATTTAATTTTTTTTAATTTGATTTTATAATAATTGGATAAAATTTTTCCATTTTTTGTTTAAATTCAATTGTAAATACTTATAATATTATAATGTTAATTAAATATAATTTAAACATATTTCTATAACCATATATGATATACACATTTATTTACTCACATTATTTTATATGCAATATATCGTGCAGTGTTGAGAGACTCAACTACAACTTAAAAATCAATTCACTAATTACTAAAATTTTCGAGTTATTTCGAGTTCTATTTTATAACTCAAATTTTATTTATTTTTTCGAACCGAGTCAAGTTTATAAATTAACATTGACTCGAGTCAAACAATTTGATTTTTTGAATTGAGTCTAGTTTTATTCACCCCAAGAATAATTTTACATATATATTATGCATTGCTTTATATGGTTAAAATAACTTGATATATTTTTATTCCATTTTGCCTTAAATTAAAATAAAAAATTTATTTTGGGATTAATTTGGCAATACAATCCCAACATTGTCGTTCAATATAAATAAAATTATAAATTAAAACAAATTTGTATACAGAGTGAAAGCAGCTAACATCACTGGAATTTGTTGCCTCCCATCTCTTGCAATTGCAACCAAAACATCCTTAATTATACATCAAAGCTTTAATTATTATTGATCAACTGGACAAAAGAATGTGACAAGAAGGCTTAAGGCTCAAGCCTACCAACTATAGTTTATGCTTTCTTCTCACTGTGGCGTGACCATGGGGCCATCTACCATGTGTAACCTATACTTTATTCCAATCTTGAAGCTTCTCAATAACATGGATAAATTTTGATACAAAATTCGACTCACTAATCTCATGAACTAAGCTAATCGATTGCAGAGTTTGCACGCATGGACAAACTCGTCTAGTGAAAGTTAATAGGCTAAATTACTCAAATGACAACTTAACTATGGGATGGTGTTGATAAGATCACAATACTTTCAATTTTGTCAATATGACCACAAAACTATTTATGTTGTTTCAATGTAGTCAGTGGCGGATCCTTAAATATTTTTTAGGGTTGACACATATATATTAATAACATAAAATTCTCGCATGTGATAGACACAGATAAAAATTCATGGTGGACATTATCAATAAAATGAAGCACTAACATAAAATATTCGAATTCTATGGTAGGCACGTGCCCACCTTAGGCAAAGCTTACATCTGCAAATGAATGTAGCCACCTGTCGTTACATAACGAATGACGTAACTGATGTGGTTGTTGTTGACTAACGAGTCAGATGTCTACATCAACTACGTTGTTTGCTTTATAATGACAGGTGGCTACATGAAAACAATTTAATAATTATATGGTCATATTATCAAAATTAAAAATATTTTCATCATATAGACATCAACCCCATACTTAATAAAACGAAATCCAAATAACTTTGGGAGCTTAAATGGTTATAGTGGCAGCCATAACATTTTGTCACTAAAAGAAGTGAATCAGAATAGATTGATTCGCTAATCTTGGCTTTTCCTACTCACCAAACCATTCTTCTTTTCTTCACAAAGCAAGCACCACCTTTATAACCCATCTTTTTCGTTTGTTTCTCTCATTTCCATATCCACTCTTATATTCATTACAGATTGGATTACTAACGCCAGGTGATCTACATTGAAGGGTTCTTGTGTTACTGAGAGGGGGAGGATGTCGGATTGGGGGCCGGTTTTTGTGTCGGTAATGCTGTTCCTCCTGCTAACACCGGGGCTGCTCATTCAGATTCCGGGAAGATCGCGTTATGTAGAGTTTGGCACTTTTCATAGCAGTGGGGTGTCCATCCTGGTGCATTCCATTATTTATTTTGCACTCATGTGTATCTTCCTCATTGCTATTGGTGTGCATATGTATGTTGGATCGTAGCTCACAAAAAAACAATCACCCAACTCTGTTTAGAAACTTTAACAGAGATTTCTTAACTCGTGGGTTTTTTATGTATTTTGAGTTCAGTTTTTGTCTGCATTTGTGTTTTCTAAACCAAATTTGCTATATGGATATTTTTGTTTTTCATTTGATTTTATCCTTCACAGTACTCCTGGAAAAAAAAGTTAATAAAAAATGTTTTGATTCTCGTTTGTGGATCTACTTGTCTTATTTATGGTACTCCAGAATCATTGTTTTCTTTTTCTCTATACCATTGCTTTATTAACTGATGGTTAATTAGGGGTTAGCAAAATTTGACTCTATTCAAAAATCGATTTTTTATTTGACTTAGTTCGAGAAAACTCTAATCGAATTAACTTCAAATTGTAATTTTATAAACTCAACTGGACTCGAAAAAAAAATTTAAGTTGTAAAATGCAACTCGAATAAATGTAATTTTTTAGTAATTAGTGGATTGATTTTCAAGCTTGATCGAGTCTCTAGACTTTGTATAATATATGTATATCACATATGAAAAAAATAAAGAAATATATATGTATTGTACATAATTATAAAAAACCATTTAAATTAGAATAAAATAATATCATAATATTATAAATATTTACAATTAAAATTTAAACAAAAAACTTGAGAATAAGACTCGACTCAAATCGAGTCGAATTTTATAAACTCGACTCGATTCAAAAAAAAATTCAAGTCAGCTTCAATTTGTAGAATAAGACTTGTCAACTTGAATAACTCGATTTTTTTTTAATTCGAATCAACTTGACTTAATTAAACGCTTACCCCTAAGCTTAATCCAATTGGTTTTTGCAGTCATTCTTAAGAATCATTTCCCCTAAGCTCATATTAGACCCAAACAGTTTCTAGGTAAAGGCGTAAATAAACATACCATTTGATGAACTGTTCGTGAGTCATTTGTTTAATGTTCTTTTGTTAACCTAAATAAACGAGTAACATGGCAGTGACATATCTCTTCTTAAAGTTGTCTGCTTCCAGCAAAACTACAAAAGCAAAATAAGTCTACATAATGGGAGTAGAAAACAGCAAAGTAGAAAATGAAAACCACATGTTGCTTTTAGACAGGGAGGTGAATATGAAGAACAACAAGAAACAGGATGAGGAACAAAGCATAGAGAACAACATGCACGAATATGGAAGCCACACTTGTTTTCATGTTCATGAAACCAATGGGTTGGTTGTTCCTTGGGATTTGCTGGATCAGCCCTGGCGATAGAAATACAAACAGCGCTGAAGCTATCAAGGGAGCAGCCCAGTCTCTCATTTCCTCTGCAAAATGGAAGAATAAAACAAGAACAGGTTTTGGATTATGCAGAGAGAGAACAGGAATCATATAAAGATAAACATAACAACTCTCAATCCCAAACCTTTTGATGCTCCATCAACGTCCATTTAAACATCAATCAATGTTTTAAAACTACTTTCGGATTGCGTCTTTTTTAATGCCTTTTGATTATTAAAATTTGAGACATCATAATGGCTTTCCACAACAAACTACCTACTCCATTTCCTGCAGGAACTGAGAAATAAACTAATATTGCCCAACCACACTCCTCTTCATTTCATTGGTCAAACCTTAATGAAATTTTGGAAACCTGGATTTTTTTTTTAAATCTAATATTTAGTTATCCACCCACAAAAGCTGCGATTGGAATGGATTTCATTCAATTATATCTTAAGTGATTTGGAAAGTGATTGTAATAGTAATAAAACCAATATGATGAAAGGGCATATGTTGTGTATGCAAACCCTTTCCACCCATAATCCTTGACCCTTGATCATACTCTTACTTTTCGTAGTCAGCACTTGACAAATTTAAAGGTAGGTTAATTTTACTGGAAACATTTTAGGAAACATTTTTCATAAAATGAAGTATATTTTTTATAAAATAGTTTTTGAAAATATTTTTTGATAAATTATATATTATTATAATATAACTGAGTATATTATTATAATTTTAAAAATATAATATCATATTGTTAATAAGTATATTTTAAATATTTTAATAATTAATATTTTTATTAAAATAATATTAAAATGTGTTACCACATGTGATCACATAGTGACCACCTAATATTCAAGCTAACTCACTTTGGGTGTAATCAATAACGATCATGTGTTGACATGCGTTGCGTCCTAGCATGAACCGTCACCTTCCAAGATAACCAATCAGGATTAGCAATGTGATAGCTTTGAACAATCAATCAACACCCATTACGTCACTTCCCAAGATAGCCAATCAAGGCCAACTACATGACAACTCCAAATCAAGGTCGGACCCTAGAGTTCTATAGACACACAAAATAGGGCATAGATGTCAAAATCTACTCTCCAATCTCCTTCCTCGTGACTCAGACTACCCTTCAACCGGGGATTTAACATAACTGACATCATTTTTCTTTAATATTCCCCTTTCTGACATCGTTTGACTAATATTTTTCGAAATAGTACCCTTTCAGTTGAGTTGGCAAAGGCGCACCCCGGGGACGCGCTTTATCCGTGTTTTTGCTGAGTTGGATGCCACGTGTGGAAGGCGCGTCCCCGGAGACGCGCCTTTCGCCAGCTCGACTGCCACATATTTTGTTTAATAATAAATAGTTTATTTTTATTATTATTATAAATTAATAATATATTATGTAAAATGTTTCGATTATAATGTAAGAATTATCAAATGTATTTTGTTAATGTGTGTTAAAGGTGGAGTGAATTATCTACATTAATATGATATAACAATATATGAAAACCAGTTTTGACTTTATTGTAGTTATAGGAAAAATGTATAAATTATAATATTACACATATGGTTATATTATTATTTTTGATTTTGATTATCGATCTATTAATTTATCAGTTAATTATTTAATGTTATCAATCTAGTCATCTCATATCAATATTTAACGAAAATATGATGCATAAGTTAATAAATTAGTATAATTACATATTAATCTTCAAGACTTACATATTTATAAAATTAGTCTTATTAAATTTAATTTAATAAATTAATCCTCCAATCAGAACATGAAATGTGTCATCGTATACATAAATTTTTAATAACTTTTAATTTGTTTAATTTAATATTTTCTCTGCTTAGAAGGTGGAATTATTATTATATTAAAAAAAAAATTATAACTAATAATATTAATTATTATATTAAATAAATATATTAAATATATTTGATATTAATGTAGATAATTCACTCCACCTTTAACACACATTAACAAAATACATTTGATAATTCTTACATTATAATCGAAACATTTTACATAATATTATTAATTATAATATAATAATAAATAAAATATTTATTATTAAACAAAATACGTGGCAGTCGAGCTGGCGAAAGACGCGTCCCCGGGGATGCGCCTTCCACACGGGGCATCCAACTCAGCGAAAACACGGGTAAAGCGCGTCCCCGGGGACGCGCCTTTTCCAACTCAGCAGAAAGGATGCTACTTCGGGAAATATTGGTCAAACGGTGTCAGAAAGGGAATATTAAAAAAAATTAGTGTCAGTTATGTCAAATAGCCCCCTTCAACCACCTTCCATGGTTGTCGACTACTTTATTAGTCAACATTTCCAACTGTGAGCTTAGACCAAACACGCGACCTCCAAACTTCTAATTCCCAAAATCCCAGATCTTCAACCTTCAAACTTTAAGGCCTTCAGATCTCTAAACCTTCAAATCTTCAATTTTTCAGATCTTAAGCAATGCAAATCCTAAAACTTTAAAACACCCATATTTCACAAAAACCTGAAGATTTTTCAAGATTAATAGATATATAAACCTCAAAATTAACAATTTTCCAAAATATTCAGCATTTAAGGGTCCTCATCTTGTAAAGCATTCAAAGAAACAAACTCCAACAGTACATGAAAAAAGAAACAAGCTTTCACAGTACATGTAAAAAGAAAAAAAAACATGAGAACAAGCATGCAGAGCAGACGAGGAGGGAGAAACCCCGAAAGAAACAATCATAAAATAAGCAGATGAATATCTTGAAGCAAAAATGCAGACATTCAAGATCATATGCATATCCATAGTAAGAAAAAACACCTCCTCCATAACCTATTATGCCAACTATTGATAAGTGTCGAATATTATATATTTTTACTATTATTTACTCCTCATTTGTCGTTTGGATATTACTGATTTGTTTCCTTTTAGGTTTATTTTGGACATGAGTTTCATTGGATTAATTAGCTCAAAAACCAGAAGATTTCGACGATACAACCAACATCTTCTAGAAGACAAGAGGAATTTTCATGAATATTTAATTTGGAATTTACTTGGATAAGGTTATCCAAAAGACGAAGCATGATTCAAGTAGAACTATAAGGCTTAAATATTTATTTTTATTTTTTTTGTAAACCTTATAAATTTAGGATTTTTAGTTTGATTATTTTATTTAGAAATTAGTTATTTAATTTACTAAGAATTATTGGTAGGATTTTAAATTTGATTATTTTATATCATTATCTTTTATTTAAGAATTAGTTATTTTATTTACTTAGAACTCTCGGGTTATAAATACCCCTTCAGGTTCAAGCTTTAAAGACAAATTGGAATTTATATTTCTTTGGTTATTTATTGAAGTTATATTTTTCTTTCATGTTCCTTTTCTTTTGTTATTTATTTTCACAATTCTAAGCATGGTCCAATCCATGGTTAGCTAAACTCCACTTAGCCTAAAGTTTTGCAAAACTCAATTATAAACTGCAAGAACTGAGTCTTGTTCTTCATAACTTTGGATAGAATTCTCCAGTTCTCTAGAAACAATGAGTGACAATCGATTATTCCTTTAAAGTTACTACATTTTCAATCTAAAAAGACATCGTTAGCTTGAAGGTTGTTTTCGCTTACGGTTGGAAAGACATATTGATTGGTCATAATTCATCTTCTTGTAAAAAAACTTAGTGGTGGTATACTAAGGGGAATCACGATCATGTTCCATTCTCAAAGAGATGCTAGAACCCGAATCGGGCTCTTCTAGTACTCAAAATTATCCTGGGGCTAACGATGATAGATGTGGTGATGAGTTATTTTAGTTACTATTTTATCTTTATTTACTCCTTGCTGATTGGTTTATTACACTAATTTAGGCCTTTTTTCATTTTTAATACAGGGCTTCAAATTCTGGAAATTGCACTAAAAAGGGGCAAAGTTTTGCAGTTTCCTTATTTTTCAGAATCAAGGTTGTATTAATGGGCATGACTCTAGGCATGATGCGACTGATGTGACAACTTCTAGCAGGTCCAATCAGTGATCCAATTAGTAGAAGGCGATCTAGTCAATGTTTCTAGAAGGATAAGCAAATCAGCTACAATTCAAATTTAAATTAGGAATTATCTTTTGTTTTTATGATTTAATTTAAACAATTTTTAGAATTTATCTTTATCATTTTCTATGTCATTTCTAGGGTTTTAGGGGGCTATAAATACCCCATTGGGGTAAGCTTGAAAACATATCTTAGTTATCTCAAATTACTTTGTTATTTGTTTTCTTCATTTTATAAAAGTTTTTACTTTTCTTTCGATTTTACTTCTTAAAGTTTTTATTTACTTTCTATAAAAATTCTATGTATGATTTCTATTATACTTAGCTAATTTTCTCATAAGCCAAAGGGTGAAGTTGATAGAAGACCATCCATACTCCTTCAATGATTAAAAAGAATGAGTTACTTTATTGTTTCTCGATATAGGATTAACAATAAGTGTTGTTCCCACTTTGAAAACTTGGGTTGAAAATAAGAAAAGTTTAAGTTAGAATTATATAAATGATAAGAATGAATGAAATAGATTGAATAAGATAAAGTTATGATGATATAAGAGTTGGCTGCAGAATAATGTGATGAAGGTGATGATATGTAGCACTTCTTGAAGATGGCTTCTGTTGATGAAGATAATGATCGTCAATGGTGAAGAAAATGAATATAGTATCTTAAAGAAGGCTTAAAGAAGAACCTATGTTAAATAACATAGACCCAACCTTTATATAATTCTTTAAGGGATGGTAACACAGACTTGGACCCACTATCTATAAGAGATTGGAACCACGAGTATTAAGGTGTGAAAGATGGGGGTGACCCCACAAGTATAGAATACTTGATAAGTCGATATAGTTCTAAAAAGAACTTTAAATAGAAAAAACCTCATAAGTATATTGATATGAAAAGGGTATGCCTTACAAATGCCAAGGCATTGGCTTTTATAAGTTTCCAAAGGGCATGGCTGAATGGTGAAAAATCTAATTGGCTAGGATGAACC